ATCAGTGCTCTCACTACTCATGCTAAATGCACTCAATTGTGAAAAATTGTATGATTTCCTCTGCATTTGTGCTGCATTCAAGTGTGAAGGATAATAATATGTCAGCTGCAGCAACAACTGTGTACTTGCTGCAGCCGTCCTAGACCAAACACACGCTGACACTCGCTTATGCTGATGGCCTTCATTAGTGGTTATTTGGATTTTTTTCTTGTTTTTTTTACATTTTCTTTAATCTTCAACGGAATTGACTACGTCAGTTTGCCTTCTGCTTCGTTGCTCTTATATTATTAGTTTGAATGTAATGATTTTTATTTTTTGTTTGTAGTTGGTGAAAACTTTGCAGAAATTTAAAGATAAGATTTATGAAAGTTTGCGATGAAGATTGGGAAACTTTTTTGGAAAAAGTGATAGGCATCTTTGATTGTTTAATCGGTTGGTGAGAAGTTCATTTGATGAATTTAGTTATATGCCGATAAATAAAGTGATAATGAGAACACTTTTTGGCATAAAAAATTTGTTATAAAAATTCTTTTTGTTAACCAAAATAATGTAAATAATAAAATGAAAAATAACAATGAATATGCTTTCTCTCAAATAATTAAATAATATTATTTATATTCCACAATCAAATATTATTTACTGTTGGCCTCAAAATTTACTTATTAAACATTTTAATGAAGTATATATTTAATTTGTATATAAAAGGACATGTTTCGAGTAATAGGAAAATTTTCGCAAATTTTTCTCAACACATTTATTTTAGAGTTTGTTTTTAATATTTAGAAATTGTAAATAGAAAAAATTTATAGAAATCGGAAAAAATAGCAGTAGCTATGTTTCTGTAAACTATTTTAATTTAATTAATTGTAAATTGTATTTATTGTAAATACCTTTAAAATTATGCTCGCTTTATTGCTATCACTCACTTATAATATTCATACTCAGCATGTACGCACAGAATGCATTCGATCTCTTATCATCCACTTTTCACGCACTAAATAATCTAATTTAAAAGGGAAAAAAATATTTTACCCACTAAACAATCTTACCATAAAAAAAGGAAATAATTAAAAAATAATTAAAAGCAATATTAAAAATCTCAATATTAGTTTTTAATGAATAAAAAAATACTTAACCCAAATTAAAATTTCTAAAAATATCTTTTTTTATTTAATAAACTGTACAAAATATATGAAAAATTTATGTTAGTTAAATATAATGTTGCATATATACCACTATTTAATTATTAAAAAAATATAGTACATATATAAAAATACCAATATAAAATAAATCAAAAAATATAAAGCACCAAAATTGAATTTCCAAAAAAAAATGTCCTTTTCTTTAATTAACTGTAGAAAATACAGGAAAAGTTTGGATAAGCTGACTGTTGAAAATATTAAAATATAAAAACTAAAATACTTGCATATAAATATTCAAATAAAATAGATAAATAAATATAAAACAGCAAAATATTATTCGCAAAAAAAAACAAACTAGTGTATATTGTGTTATATATGTATTTAATAAAATATTTCTTTGCTAAAAATTTGGAGATAATTTTTCGTCGAGTTTCTGTTTTCAATATTTCAGCCATAAAATTCAAACAATATATTAGAAAATAATAAATAAATAGAAAAAACCAAAAACTCGCACAAAATTAAATTGAAAGTGCACTAAAAATAATTGAAAAATAACTGGAATATATAAAACCAATTTAACATTTAATTGTGTAATGTTGGAATGAATTTCTTTAACTAAAAACTGCTGTCTATGCTTTAAGCACATACCAATAGTTATATTTAAAGAAAAAAGTTAAACTAAATAACTGGAATTAAAAAAAAAAAAATTTATTTTAAATATTTTCGATTGAAAAAATTATTCTTAGTGCTAAAAACAATATTGAAAAATTTATTAAAAAAATTTAAATATTAATGAAAATTCACAATTAAAATAATGTCTATAAAATCCTTGATAATCAAATAAAAGTAAAATATAAAAGAAAATCCAAACAAAAAAACAATAAAATTGTCCTTAATAATAAAACGGTCATATTTAAATATTAAAAATAAATCCTTTGTCCACCTCGTTAGAAAAAATATTTTTATGAAAAAATTTTTTTTATAAAATCCTTAAGAAATTATTCAATAGTTAAAAAAATAAAAAAAATTATTTTTATAAAATCCTTAACAAATTAAGTTATAGTTAGAAAACAAAAAAAAATATTTTTCCAAAAAAAAATCATAATAATAATATTCGAGTACTTAAACCAACACTTAAACACAATAGAGTAGCTATTCAACCTATTTGTTATGCAAAATTATGCATTAGTAAAAATTAATTTAGTAACAAATAAGACGTTCCAAAAATTTCAAAAATTTTTATTTTTAAATTACTCAAATTAATAGTCTTCGCCATTTACTTAGTAGTACCTAGTGAATATGAAGTTAATCTTTTTCCGTATTTCACAACTAAATCACTGTCAGTTTTTCGCTTAATCTCAAATTTACGCATTTATTCGCAAATAACAATATTTTATAAATTTCGTTAATTATTTATAAATCACAATAATTTTTTTTTTTTATTAATATTTCACAATGCCATAAGCTCAGTGAGAAATATGGTATAAAGAATATTAATAAAAAATTATTTATAATAAATAAAATTTTATCTTACAAGTAAATAAAAATACGTATTTTGTGAGCAATCAAAATCTAAAAATAGTTTTTTTTTTAATTTAAAGAATTTCTTAAATTTACCTTGCAATGAGGATGTATATGCTGAGCACTCACTTTGACATAGCCGAAGTTTTAATAACATTCGCCTTGAAACGGTAATAAAAGCTCTTCAATAAATAAGCCTCGAACTTATTTATCTATAGGAAGTTTGTGATATCTCTCTTAATGAACCGCAATATCCTTGTCAGAGAGAGGCAACACCTGTGTCTACCTCAACTAAAAAAATAGAGCAAGTACAATAGACTAGATGTCATCTAAGCAAAAGTCGAAATGGTATTTTCTACCATGAAGTTCAAACCATTTTACACTTCAATACCAGATATTGTATGCTAAACTTACATGGGGTTACTTAGCCCAAAAAATTCCAATCAACGGTCTGCAACTATCCTTATTGCAGCAGTTCTACTATCGGTACCCCCCAAAGCAATGGAACTTTTCGCAATTTTCTTACTCAAGATCTGTACGCCAAACTACAAGCCAACGGCCACGCAAACAATTGAACGGACGTCTTTTGAAAAAGTTTCCTGTGAAACTGGGTTACACCACCCCAGTAACTGCTCTGATGATGATATCTTTTCAGCCAGAAACTCCAATAGCAACAACAATATGCTCAGTTCTGTTTAAGAGAATCACAATCATAATCAAAAACGCCTCAGTATTCGATGGCAAAGTTGGCTGTGGCATCCTCTGGACTAGCGTCTTTTAGATAGCACCTATTGAAGTCGTAAAAGCTGAAGAATGGATGCTCAAATCTATGTTAATTCTGATATATACATACAGCTAAAACAACTAATCCACCATTTAAACAATACCACTTTAATTGACTATGAAATATAGAAGCACTCTGAACAAAGCCTCTCGTACATGTAACACAGCCATGGAATCTTTATAAGCACAATGATCCATGTAAATGACGCAAATGTACCTCGGTCCGCTGCAAAGCATAAGCTCAAAATGACCCTTTCAAAAAATTCAAACATCAGATGTCTGACCAGACCAGATAGACATGACCAGATTAGAACGCAAAAGGACCAAAGGCATCTTTTCCTACTAGACAAAGACAAAGCGACAGACATTAAAACAGGGCACTATTTAATGGGGCTTCAAGGGCAGAGAATATGTGGCTAGTTTAAGAATTTTTAATGCAGGTTGAAGGACGAAATAGGGATATATTTTTGCTGTCCTGCTCTCTCTCTAACTAAAATTAGTAATCTCATTGCTTTTGTAAGCTACACCACATGATTGGCGCAAATGAGTAGTTGATAGGAGCAACAAAGAAGTATCACCTTGGGTCTATAGGCTTAAGCATGCTGGCCACTTATGAAGGGTTTAATGCAGCGCTAAATTCTTCAAATTCTGATAAAAAAAAAAAACATTTTAACCAAAAAAATTAAAGAATAAGAAAAATCAATATCCGAATAAAATCAAGTCAATGACAAATTCTAATCAAAAAAAATTAATTGAAAAAAAAAAAGATTACAACACTTTTTTAAAAGTTATAGTCTCATAAAAAAGAAGAATTTCTGAATTTTTAAATTTTTAAATTTTTTCACTGAGCTTATGACGACGTCATGCAATCCAAAAATGCAAATTCACGCTCATTCCATTTTAAGCGCAAGTACATTTAGAACATTTTTAATCTCTTATCTTTTACTTTTCTAGCAAATGGTTTTGAACATTTTCAAATTCACATATGTTTTATACGAATATCATACTTCACCGAATATTTCATACTGCATTTTGTAAAAAAAAAAACGATTTAATATTTTAAAAATGGAATTATTTAACCATTCATATATATATTTACTAAATTTGAGCAAAATTAACCAAATTAAGAACCTTTTGTAAATTTATTAAAAACCTCTATTTAAATTAATTACTTACTAATATCTAAATATACATATATTTATATAAATATATACAAAGAAAAAAATTCCAAATAGTAGATTTAAATAATTATAAAAATTTGCGCAAATAACATTTACTAATCAATATTTTTTCTTATTTGCACCTCTTCTCCCTCAACATCCAAATAACCATTTCCATACACACTCCACCAACCAAACTCACCACCCAACGGATCAATCACGCGAAATATTAAATACCCAAAACTCTCTCATTACATACACCCACACACACACACACATGCCCACAAATGCGGTCGCTTACAATCATAACAAATCAAAAAAAACTCCACACAAAATAAAAAACAAAAAAAAAAAACTGTAACTCAAAAAAAAAAAAATCGAACAAAAAATTTAGGCCAACGAAATTGAAGATGAACCGGAACCATTGAGCATGGCTTGGCCCGATACTGCCCGCAAACGGCTCACCTATATTTTGGTGGCGCCACTGCTAATACCCATGTGGCTGACATTGCCCGATACGCGTACACCGCGCGGCAAGAAATATTACCCGGTCACGTTCATCGGCTCGATAGTATGGATAGCTGCCTTCTCGTATCTGATGGTGTGGTGGGCGAATGTTGCCGGCGATACGGCACGTATACCGCCCGAGGTGAGTGCACAGTTGACTAGTCCATACATACATATATGCATTTATGGTTGTTGTTTAATGACTTATGTTGTGGGTCATCTGTATGTATTATATAAATTTGAAATTTTTCTTTTTATTATTTTTTCGCAAAGCTAATTTTTTAAAACTTTCATTACCATCTACAATTTTTTTTTTTTTTGTTTTTTTTACCAAACTCTTTTTTGCTAATCTCTCTCTCTCTGTGTCTCTCTTACGCTTTTCCCCTTCTTTAGGTAATGGGTTTGACCTTCCTCGCCGCTGGCACATCAATACCCGATTTGATAACATCGGTGATTGTAGCGCGTAAGGGATTCGGTGATATGGCGGTTTCCAGCTCAGTGGGTAGCAATATTTTCGACGTCACTGTGGGGTAAGTTATGTTTCTCAGTTTTTTCACCTTCTTTCACATAATTACACATTAACAAAGTGTCGATGAAATAAGCTATTTAATGAGTTATACTTTGTATAATATATACTCGCATAGGGAAACTTTGATTATAAGAAAAAAATGAATTTAAATATTGCTGAGTCAAACATGAGTTTGATATTTTCTGCATTATAATCAAGCGAAGCGCTTTCGTGTTGTTAGATTTCCAGTTAATTTAGGATGAATTGTAGTTTCTTATACTTTTACTCTCATTTTGTTTAGTCATTGTAAAAAGGAAACTATAGCAGCGCTTTGGGAAAAATCTAAAAATTGGCCACTTAACGATTTGCGTTTTGAAGCTTACATAAATTGTTTTTCCCTACGAGGTGTTTTTTGGAATAGCCTGCTGTTCTGGCAGATGTCACTAATGAAGCTGTAATTTTTTGACATTTTACAAGTAGAAACTACGCCAGTAATAAATAGAAAATTACTCAAATTGACTATAAAAGTTTCATCGGAAAATCATCTTGATTGATGAGGCCAATTTCCACCGTGATGGCTATGTCAATAAGCAATCTGGGGTCGCATCTGGCGCTCGGAAAACCCCTTAACTAATTTTTGAAAAGTCTCTCCATTCTCAAAGTGTAACTGCACCAAGCAGCAGGTGGCGGGATAATTGGATCCTATCTTTTCGAAAATATTATATATAGATTGCGCTATCGATGATTAATGCTTTTTTATGGCCGGAATTGGATGATGTTGATCTGGACAACATTTACTTTCAACAAGACGACCCTACGTGCCACACAAGCAACGAGACCATCGATCTTTTAAGGAAAAAGTTTCCTTGAAAATCAAAATAACAGCTCTTATTGGAAAACCCTTTATTTAAATTTAGAATTAAATATTAATTCTCATAACTGAAATGTTGATTGGAGGAGGCAATATGATGAAATCTCCATTTGCGATAATTCTCGATAGCAATATTTAGTTGTAGGTGTGTAGAATACGAACCACATTCGTTTGACGTAGCTGTAAGTGTTAAGCTTTTCATCACCAGTCACCATCCACTTCAAAAAATGGCAGATGGCACAATTCAACAGCAAATCACGGATGGAAATTCGGTCCATGATGCTTTTTCTCGTTAACTAATTTGGCACCTAAGCGAAGAAATATTTTAAAATTTTAGATATATTCTCCTCCCTGGTGTCCATCTTTGGCATGCGCTCAAGCAGTACTGAGTTAAGTGATCAACACTTCTCCCATTATCTATTTTAGTGGAAAATCTCATCTTCGTAATCCAATTCTATAAAACGCGAGATATAGATCAATAAAGCCTTTTTTGCAAAAATTATGGATCACATTTAATATCAACAATAAATTAGCGGTACAACCCACGTTGAAAATACTTCAGGGGTGTAGGTACTCGTATACCTCTAAGTCTCAGTGCTACAGACCATACTTGAAGGCGATAGGGTATTTGATAACACTAAGTCGCCCAACTGTCTATTGTCTTGTTTAGCTTAGTGGTCTGAGACCGAATTGATGTTCATTTTGTTTTTCTATAATATTCTATTAACTGCCTTACCTTTTCCCGATTGCACTGTATGTCAAGACCGAAGTTTGTTATAGCTCTTATGTACATCACTGTTAGAAGGCCGTAGGCAATTGTCAAGGACTATTCAGCTCTTTCCGCTGCTTCATACGTCACTTGCATATTGATGACGGCTTGATGTAAATGATCACTTCCAGGATTCTTTTCACGGATATGTCTTTTAAAAAAGTTACACTTGCTCCAATGTCTAATACACGACTTCTTCTAAACCCAAGTTTTCCAAATTCGAAACTCTCCATTTGCTATTGTTGTTAAAGCGGCTAATCTAGCCCCGTTTAGGAGCAGAAAAAATCAGTCTAAGTCATCGAGGTCATCCAACGGTTGGTCTAGGATACGAGCCACTTCGACGGGTTCGGACAAAATGGGAAAGGGGGTTTAGATAAGTAGGTTTTGAGTAGCATGCTAAGAGGTGATTAGGTGCTCGTCAAGTCCAAATAAGTAGTCGACTACAATATTCAGATCTTAGTTGTGCCAGTTTCACTTGGGACATTCGAGCCAGCTCGATCTCATCTTCTGCAATGGGTGGTGATTGGACTCAAAGAACGCGGCACACTGGAAAAGAGTTCCAGGAGGTGTTAGCGTACTCTCGGTGAATGACTGAGCACTTTCTTGAGCCAATGAAGAATTTATGGTTCTACAAATAGTTTTTATTAAAACCATCTAGTTGTAATAATTCAAATTTTGTGTCACATTTTATGTCTTATATAAATAGATTGGAACCTAATATCAATATAAGGGGAAAACATATTTTAGCCCGCGGCCACAGTTCACATTGTGTATTAACGACCAAGAGTGAAAATTATAGAGAATGTATTTTTCTATTTGCGGTCGCCCCTCGACAGAAAATGTCAAGCCCTCCGAATGTCTTTCTGACACTAAATAAAAACTCCTCATCGACCATTCGAAGGACGCTTTTTCGAAAAACATTCAATGGAGAAGCTCGGCTGAAAATTGCTTCAGCCTTAACAAGGCACCATATATATATGTGCGTATATATGTATATGTAAGTTAAACAGTTATGTCCTGAAATTTTATAATTACATTCTTTGAGAAGAATTAGGCAAATAAATCTTGATTTAAACTTTTGGAAAAAAATTTTAAATTCTTTTCATATAATTTCGGATATTCAAATGCCAACACAACAACCCACACACCTGTGTGTGCACAACTTTGCACTTGTGGCTTATCATTTGAAAGAGGAAAAAGTTACTTTGACATAGACACATAAGCCGCAAAATTTAAGCCTTGTTAAACCTTGCAACCACTCAGCACTTAACCTTAACTTGACGTGCCGAATGCATACTTACTTACAAACTTATATATGTGTGTGTGTGTGTGTGTGTGTGTGTGTGTGTGTTTGTGTGTGAGTGTATAACTACAGGCGCACTTATAACTCACACCTACGCCAATTTAACATACAAGAGCTAAGGATGTGGGAACTTGTAAGCAAAAGGTAAGCCGAACAAGTAAGGAAAGTCTAAATTCGGTTGAAAGCAACAAAACCTCATCATCTTTACGGCATGCAGTCAACGCTTACGCGATTATATCCGAGTCAAAAACAGCGCATTAAACACTTCTTCTTTCCGTTTAATTAAACTGATCTTTTGTACGGGGTGAAAGTCTTTTTTTATCTCTGCTGCCACTTGCTAAGTTAGAGTACTCTTATCTACCCGGATAGCATGATTTAGCTACTGTCTCTTAATGCGCTATGTAACTATGTCAACCTAATTAAAAAATTTTTTATTTTTTTGGAAAACCATCAAACGCAAAAACCACAAATTGGAGGAGAAGCTCGGCCAAAAATATATATATTGGATGAGTGCATAAGTTCATGCCCGATTTCAAGTGCAAACTAAAATTGAAATTTTTTGAAGAAAGCGCTTTTATTAATCAATTATGTATTCGCCATCATGTTCAGCAATCCACTCCCAACGTTCAACCAATTTACGGATGCCTGATTCATAGAAATCGCACGGTTTCTCGTTGAAAAAGGTGTCAAGGTGGTTTTTGACGTCTTCCACATTTTTAAATTTTTTTCCATTCAAATTATTCTGCAGCGATCGAAACAAATGATAATCAGAAGGTGCAATATCGGGTGAATATGGGGGATGCGGCATTATTTCCCAATTCATCTCCTTCAGTTTGGTCAGGGTCGGTTTTGCAACATGTGGCCTGACGTTGTCATGATGGAAAAGAACTCCTTTGCGATTGGCCAAAATCGGACGTTTTTTATCAATTGCTTTCTTCAATTCGACCTATTGCGTCGCTCGAGAACTCCTAATGCTGGCTTATCAGACCACCACGTCATATGACAGAATGGAACTTATAAGGGACTCGTTGAGTTCAGCTTTTGATTGCAGGGAGAGGACTTTAGTTTTCAATTCTTTATTCAGTGTGAACTAGAATCTGTTGGCAGAGAGGAACTCTGTCTTAACTTTCAGGTATGATATTGTTGCTGGTATTGATTTGGGTTACCAAATTGACGAAATTATCTACAGTCCAAAGTTATGAGTGCCAAAAGTGACATAAGTTTCAGTAGTTTTCCCATTAAGGCTTAACCGCAAACAAAAATCTGATACTATGGAGAAAAGAAGCTCTTGGAGCTTGTTGTGGTATAAGCCCATCGTGTCAACTCGATGTAGATCTACTTTGCAGCTTGTTAGCGGATCCAACACTCAGCAAAAACTCCCAGCCGTATAAGTTTGGCTGGGATCACCTTTTTGTGCGAGTTAAAAAGTATGTTGCAATGACCAGCGATTAGGCTGTAGTCACTTTTAGTTATCAAACCTCAGTAAACAAGGAGCAGCTCGTTGGTGCCACACTTCGTACCAAAGAAGTATTTCCAGCTATTATGATCTTACAAGTATTAATGGGGGTTTTCATCTGCAAGCTGGCCTAACTGAGCTTTGTTCGATGGAATGATTATGTGACTACAGTTAATGCTCTTGATTTATCTATACTGGTTAATTTCAGCAAAATAAAGTTGCTTGTAGCACAGAAAGGGAGATTGACACTGCGTTGTCAGGGTTGAGTGGAGAAAGACTTGATTTTGCATAGAAGAAATGATAATTTTCGTTTGGAACCTAACTTGGGTTATGTGTGGCCTGGTATTCCAAGCTCTAAGGTGCATAAACCTAGTGCTTAGCAGTACATGCTACCAAGCAGAACTCGGATTTGGACCAAACCAAAATCAAATATTACTGAATTTCTCTTGAATTGCTTTTCCGCCTCATTGGAGAATGTTACACACCCCGAGTGTATCTTTAGTATGAAAAAAGCTGTTCATAAAAATCCATCGACCGCTCGGAGGCGGTTCAGAAAGTTATTGGGGATACTCGTTCGAGAATTCTTTTAGCAACTACTCATTTGAGCAGAGCACAAAGAGCTT